AAATATCTGCACAAATGTAAGATGGTAATGAGTGGACTTTTGTGCTGTCTCTACTGTCGTTGAAATTTCTCTGAAATTTAAATGTATGAAAAAATAATGTACTTGACAAAATGCAAAATCAACATTAAAAAGTCAATAGCTCCTATACATCTATTGTTCACATATTATTATGAACTACATGAGAAAGAAATCAGGAAAATTATTCCACACACACACACACACACACACACACACACCCCAAAAAGCACACGTAGGGATCACCCTAACCAAGCAAGTCTAAGACCCGTATAATAAAGGTTACAAAAGACTGAGGGAAGAAATTGAACAAGATGCTGTAAGACAGCACGGCACCCTGTGTTCATGGATCAGCACAATTATGGGTAGTAAAATGACCACATTACCAAAATTAGTCCACAGATTCAATGTAATCATCAAATTTCCAGTGACATTTTTCACAAAACTAGAAAAAGCCCTAAAATTCATAGAGAAGCATAAAAGGCCCAGAATAGCTGAAGAAGGTCCTAAGCAAGAAGACCGGAGGCATCACAATACCCAGTTTCAAATAATACTACAAAGTCAGAGTAACCAGCATGGTATGGCATAAAAAACAGATACACAGATGAATAGAGCAAAACAGAGGAGCAGACAGGACACAGGAACAAGCCTATAAGACTACAGCCATCTGGCCGAGGAGATAGCTCAGCAGTCTCACTGCATGCCTGGCACGCACAAGGACCCAGGTTCAATCCCCAATACCACATGCTGTGTGGGCCCCTGCACCTAGCTCTCTGCTGAAATCAGACGTGGTGGTCTACACCTGTGACCCCAGCGCTGGGGAGGCTGAGACAGGAGGATCACTATGAGTCTGAGCTGCTTAGTGAGACCCTATACCAAATACATAAATAAAGAAAAGGGTTGGTTTTTTTTTTCGGTTGGTTTGTTTGTTTGTTTTATTTTAGGGAAGGGTCTACAGGTGTTTCAGGGTTTCACTACTAGATCGGACTCGTAATGATCTGCCTGCTTTCAGCCTCCCAAGAGCTGGGATTACAGGAGCATGCCACAACCCCAGTCTCAGTTGCCATCTCAGCACACCCCATGGGCAGGGCCAGCACAACAGGCCCACGAATCAAACCCCCAGCCCCTGTGCCTGCTTGCAGGTGCTTTAATCTGCTGAGCTATTTGGCTCGCCCTAAAAGATTTTTTAAAAACAACACTACAGCCATCTGACTCTTGACAGAGGACCCGAAAGTATACCTTGGGAAAAAGACAGCCTTTTTAAGAAACAGTATTGGGAAAGCTGGATGTTCACTTGCAGAAGATTGACATTAGACCCCTATCTTCCATGCTGTACAAAGATCAATCCAGAATGGATCAAATTAGGTGAGGTCTGAAACCTTGAAACTATAGAAGAAAATGTAGGGAAGCACCATAGGCACAGGCAAGGACGTCCTAAATAAGACTCCAGCAACACAAGAAATAACAGGAAGAATCAACAAATGGGACTACTCCGAGTCCAAGTATCTACACAGCAAGGGAAAAAATTGACAGGCAGCCTACAGCATGGGAGAGTAATCTTTACTCTTCCAACAGAGGATTAATATGTAGAATAGATATGTACGTGTAGGGGGTGGGGGTGCCAGAAAATGGACAACATATATGCATACATACATATACACAAAATGTCTAAGATAATTGCAATATTGTTTTCTATTAGTTCATTGAAAGGAATAGTTAGCATTTATGTTGTTTGATTAATCTTATATGCCTTTATCTAGTAATCTGAGCAACCGCTTTGAAGATAGCAACATGCAATATAACAACCAGCGTTAATTTCCTAACATCTTGTTTTGAAATTCTGAATCATTTTTACTGTTTTTTACCATTGCCTTTAAAATAAAAAAATGAGGGCCCAGGGAGATGGCTCAGTAGAATAAGCGCTTCCTGGCAAGCGCAAGGGCCTGAGTTCAATCCCCAGTTCCACAAATAAATAAATTAATTAATCAAACAAAATTAAAAATTGACACCAAAAAGTTAAATAGCCTAATCAGTAAATGAACAAATGAATCACCGACACTTCTCAAAAGAAGTATAAACGTTCAATAAGTATATGAAAAATTGTTCAACATCTTCACCTATTAGGGAAACACAAATCAAAACTACATGGAGATCCCATTCCATCCCAGTCAGAATGGCTATCATCAAGAACACAAAAAAAATTTTAAAAAGAATACCAAAAAATAAATGGTTGGGAGCAAGGTGCTGAGGGCCTCTACCTATAGTAGGAATGAAAAGTGTTACAGCCCTATGACAGTTGAACTTAATTTGCAGACGTGATTGGCTTGGAACCCACCTAGGGAGCTAGCAAAGTATCCTCTGCCTGCCTGGGTGGGTCGTGGAGGCTCAGCCGTGGGGTCTGCGTCTGACCCCCAGCCCCCCTTTTTGGTTCCACCATCCACATCGTGCTTTGTGTTGAAAACATCAAGCCATAGACGGAAGCCTATGAAGCCAGGGACAAAGCTGAGCCCTTCCTCCTTTAATCTGTGCATACTGAGTTTTTGGTCTCAGCAACAAAAAGCTAATACAAGGCCCCTATAGAAATTAGTACGGAGACTTTGCCAAAACCTAACGATAGGGTCAGTGTTGATTCTGCTACAGCACTTCTTAGTGTAGTCCTCAAGGAATTAAAGCCAGCACGCCAGAAGAATTCCAGCAATGTCCATGTGTAGTGGGCCACAGTTCACAAGAGTCAAGACACAGAGCCAGTCAAGATGCACACCATCAACAGATGGAACGGTGAGAATGAATGGCTAAGGATGCACAGGTCAATGGATACAGAAACTGTCGCGTGCGGCCTTGCCAGCAAGAACGACGTGACCACTGGTTGGTTTTCTGCACAGCTCTTTATTGTTTTCTTACATCCGTCTTCTTCCCCCTCGAGGCCCCTGCTCTTAGCTTATAAGTCCCAGGGCTTCCAATCATGGGGTGCCACGTGTGTACTGCCCATTGGTCCAGGTATGCAGAAGCAATGCATTAGCCCAAGCCTTGGCCTTATATGGAGTTGTTTATTACTAGGAGCGCTCACCCCCTGAGAGGGTGGAAGGCGGAAACCGGCGCCATCCTAGGGCGCGGCTACACGCAGCTCCCTACAAGAAACACTGGAGTATTATCCAATCATAAAGAAGACTGGAATTTTGTCATTTGCAGGAAAATGGATAGAACTGGAGGTCATCATGTTAGGCAAAATAAGCCAGGAAAGGCAAACACTGTGTATTTTCTCTAATATGTGAAATCTAAAAACCTGACATAAAAAGAGTCTCATTAGACAAGAGGATAGAGATAACAGGGAAGGTACAAGGGTAGATACTAAGAGAAATGGGTATGATCAAAATATGTAGATCTAAAAATCAGTATTTTAGAGCTAGCGAGATAGCCCAGTGGGCTAAGCACTTGCTTAGGCAAGCACAGAAACCAGGGTTCAATACTCAGCACCACATGCCCCGCCAGCCCTGGCCCCAGGCGCACTGAGCTAGACACCTGTAATCCCAAGACTGGGGAGGCTGAAAGCAGTCTTGCTTAAAATTTGTCCATGTTGCTTCATGTAGTGAGCTATTGTTTATTCAGTTTCCCTGATGTACAAAATTGCATTATGTAAATGCACCCAAATGCAGTATATGTGTTATCATCGCTGGGCATCTTAGTTGACTGTGGCGTGGAACTCTAAGAAGGATTTTCTGATCATCCGATTTGTGGGACATTAAAGTTTGATATGCCTTTTACACATTTGTGCATTTCTGAAGGGCAAGGAAAAAGAAGCTGCTATTAGAATCTTGTTGAAGAGATACATTTAACAGAGAAGAGCTCAGAAAGCCCAGGGCTGCTGCTCGTGGCTTCCGAGGAGGCAGTAGGCTGCCCCTAGATGATGCCAACCTTCCTTCCCACAGCCACATGGACCAGCTCCTTTACTAATTTATCCACCACTCTGCTAGGGCTGTCTGTGGGTCGAGCCATGGAAACCTTGATCCTAACAACAACTTCTTGCACTCCTTACACTTTTCTAGAGAATAAGTCTCTATAGGGCAGGCTCCCACCTCGATGGCCAGATAGAATGGAGACTTTCAGGTTTCACTTGCCTTCCCCACAGATCCTCCTGGCAATGCAGGTTCCTGACTCATAAACTAAATTTTTCAAGCAGACAATTATGAGCATGTATAGACCGGCAGGCAGGCAGGCAGGCAGGCAGGCAGGCAGGCAGGCAGGCAGGCAGGCAGGCAGGCAGGCAGACAGACAGACAGACAGACAGACAGACAGACAGACAGACAGACAGTGAACATCTAAGGCTGAGTCAAAGTGAGCCATCCTTTCTTGTCTGACCACCTTGACCATATTTTTCACTGAATAGCTTCAAACTAATCAAATTTTATTTTTATCAGCAGTACTTCTCAGGTTAGCATATTTTGTCTTATTTCTGTCTAATTTATCTTAAGTATATTAAGTCATAATTTTTGTTTATGATTTAACTGGAAGGCAAATAAATCTAGCAATCTTAGGCTCAGGAGCTAGACAGCCCGGAATCCCAGCTCGGCTAGGCCTCCTCTGGGCCGAGTGCCCCGCACTTCTGCTTTCTGAGCCACAGCTTCCTCACAAGTGAAAAACAGAACAGAAAATTAACTTTGTAAGATGGGATGATTTAGTACAAAAATATATTCAAAGTATTTAACAGTTCCTGACACAAGAGAAATAACCAATGTACAATGAAGATTATTGTTGTTGACACTTACACAATAATTTCACCTGTTAGTTTCTTTCTTATGCGTAATGATCAGACATCTTGCAAAGCTTTAGAATTCTGCTATTTAAAGAATTATCCTGTGACATTCAGCATTCTCTATTTCCCATGCTAACTGGAATCTATAGCAAAATGAAAACTGAAGTCCAGTGTGAGGGAGATCAGCCTCCCTTCCAATTATAACACAGGTCAAATTTATGTCTCTTTCCATTAGGTTTATAATTGGAGATTTGCTGGATTCAGAAAACGACATCTTCGAGCAGTCCAAAGAATGCGACCCTCACGGGTCAGAGGAGCCACAGAAGGCCTTCGACCATGGGACAGAGCTCATCCCGTGGTACGTGTTGTCCATCCAAGCTGATGTGCACCAGTTCCTGCTGCAGGGGGCCACGGTCATCCACTATGACCAGGACACACACCTCTCTGCTCGCTGCTTCCTGCAGCTTCAGCCAGACAATAGCACGCTGACGTGGGTGAAGCCCCCCACTGCCTCCCCAGCTAGTGCTAAAGCAAAAGTCTGTGTGCTGAGCAGCACAGCCGAGCCTGGCAAGTTTCCATTACTGGGTAATGCTGGCTTAAGCAGCCTGACAGAGGGGGTCTTAGATCTGTTTTCAGCAAAGGCTGTGTACATGGGACACCCTGGCATTGATCTACACACTGTGTGTGTTCAGAACAAACTGAGTAACATATTTCTGTCGGAGACGGGTGTGACTCTGCTCTATGGACTCCAGACCACAGACAATAGATTACTACATTTCGTGGCCCCAAAGCACACAGCCAAAATGCTCTTCAGTGGACTGCTGGAACTCACGAAAGCTGTGAGAAAGATGAAGAAGTTCCCTGACCAAAGGCAGCAGTGGCTGCGGAAACAGTACGTCAGCCTCTACCAGGTAAGGGGAGAACCATCCCTCGCTCTCTCTCAAGTAGTGGGATTGCACGCTCCCAGGTCCCAGCTCTGCCTCTTACTCTCTGTGTGACCTTGTACAGCTTAGAGTTGGCCCCTCAGTGCCACAGTGAGAGCTGAGTGAAGACACATAAAACCACAGTATAAATTCCTCTGTGGAAAGAACAGTACCTGCTCATGTTAGGTTCCTGTAATTATTTTGTTATGAAAATAGTGATTATGGTCATTATCATTCTTATACTGGAGAGAAACTGCAGCTTCATTGGCCAAAGGTTTAGTCAAAATTACTGTGATCTACAGGGTTTTATTATTAAAACTAGCTGATACATTGAAACTTTCCCTTTGGAAACTGAAATTCTGATTCATTACATAACATACTATGTGACTCTTGGCGAGTTCTGTTTAACTTACTGTTTATTGCTTCCTAAGTAGAGCTTTTAAGATTGAAAGACACTTTCCCAAATGTGGATAATTCCTACCCAGAGTCCTTCCTCACCAGGCTTACAGTGGCAGCAGCCCCACCGGCTGGCAGTGGTCACAGTCTGCTGCTTAAGTTCCCTGAGTGTCTCCTGAGCCCACACTTTTGGGGTGCTTTCACCGTAAGCACCCGGTGAAATGCTTCTGCAATTAAAAACATTTCCTCCCTGGGAGATTTGTAGAGACGCATGTATGTAAAGTGCCTCTAGAGAGCCCTTCCTGGTCCTCGACTTGGTCTGGGAAGTTTATATTTGTACTCGCATGCATAGGTTATTGGAATCCCGTCAAGTTAATTGCAGTCTAGCACTTCCAGAGCAACCCACAGTGAGAATAAAGGTATGAAGGCATATTTTTAATTTTGGGAGCCAAGGGGTCCTAAGTCCAGCCATGGTGATGGCTATCCAGAACAAAGGCCTCCACCCTGGACCAAACCTGGGTTTATTCAATCCTGAAGGAGGAGTGGCCTAAGGATGAGTGACTGAGAATGGCAGGAAGTAGGTGAGTGCTGTGAGCTGGGCTGGGTAGGAGGCCTGCATTTACCTCTGTGATATGCAGAGAGAGGGATGTGCAGAGAGGGATCTGCAGAGAGGGATCTGCAGAGAGGGATGTGCAGAGAGAGGGATCTGCAGAGAGGCATCTGCAGAGAGGGATCTGCATTACACAGCTGAGATGGTCTCTAATGTTTTGGGGTCCGTGCTTCAGCTCTGATGTGTAGTCTCCCAAGCCCCAGGAAGTCACAGGCTCTATCTTGAGGCCTGATCCCAGCCAACAGCATGGAGCAGTGACTCTTCATCCTGTCTCAGCCTGGCTCATATTAAAGAACAGCAAATGGGGGTTGCCAGAGTTACGTGTGTGCCATCTTCAATGACTACCACCAGCTCCTTGGCTAGACCAGTATGCACTGCTTAAAGCCAGTTGAAGGGATAAGGAAGAATCCTAGCCAGCCCTGTACACGTCAATACATGGAAACATGGTTGGTCAAATACAGCCAAAATTGCTCTTCTTTCAAGGAGAGTCGCCCAGGTGCTCCTCCACAAGTGCCTTCATTCCCTTTCCCCATGCCTACATGATGATTATAAGTAGAGGCCATATCCTGAATAAAAACCATGATGCATTAATTAATGAGTAGATAGGCCTCTCGGATCACGCATTCAAAGTTACATAGCACAAAGCCATTTTAGTTAAGTCATCTAAGACAGAAACCAACATGCACCTCCTCTGCATTCCACAGGGCAAGTCCAGTGTTCAAGAGCTGTTATGAATATTGATTTTTAATTAGCGCTCTTCCTCGGCCTTCCAGAATCAACAAAAGCCATCACCTGTGGACAAAAAGCAGGCTTTGAGCTCAGTTGCAATCCCTGCTCATGACGCCTGTGTATTTCTGTCGGTCCCTTCATTTCCTTCTGCAGGGGCTCCATCTGTTCCTTCTCCAGCTCACAGCACAAGGAGCTGGATGTGAGCTGCACCTGGTTTCCCATTTGCCTGGCAGCCTTCAGCCTACGTTGAAGGAGGCGTCGGCTGGGACTGGGGCCAGCTAATGAGGAGGGGAGAGGCGCTGCTGGAGAGAGGCCAGGTGATCCAGGGAGACTCGGGACACATGGCTGCGGCAGTGCGGCCCACAACACCCCCGCCGGGACGCTCTGGTACAATGTCACTTAGGAAATGCAGGTGGCGTTCATCCGCAGGGTGTCATTTGCAAAGACAGGCAGCCTACCTTGGACTCAAGATTTCTTTCAGATGAAAAAGGTGGCAGAGGCCAACAGTCTGTCCTCCCAGAGGCCATCCCTCATGCTGGCCCAGGAAGCCCCAAGGTGCTGATGTAGCACTTAGAGAACAAGGCTCAGGCAGATCTTTTGTTAGTGTTAAATCTCCACGTGTGATGGATTTTTCTGATTCCAAAAAGCTGAGGAGGAAATCCATATTTGTGATAGCGCTTGACAACTTTTCTTCCAAATAAGTGGTGACCCTGAAAGCTTCCTGTAGGACTCACAGGAAGCAGGTATTTTGGTCTCATTTTTGGTATATTAATTAAAACTGACTTTGTGTCATATAGCATTAGTATTCTCATTAAATGAAATTTTTTTTTTTTTTTTTTTTGAGACAAGGTCTCATTATATAGTCCAGGCTGGCCTTGAACTCACTGTGTAGCCTAGGCTACCAGCAATCCTCCTGCCTCTGCCTTCCCAGTTCTGGATTACAGGCATGTAGCACCACGCATGGCTCGTGAAGTGATGTATCATACATGGTAGCACATGCCCTCAGATGCCTAGTACCAAAGAAATCCCTATTTAAATTCATCTGAAAGTTAAAGAAACTTTTGAGAAGACTTCCTTGGATTTTTACAAACCTCTGGGAACAGTCCTAAAATATTTCTGTATTCCCAGTTTGAGAAATGCTCACACAGAAAATAAAACATCTTCCCAACATTAGCTGTCCCTTCTGCGGTGAGCATATATAAAGTTACTTTCAAATACTACAAGCATTTGTAATCGATCCATTGGAAAGAGTAGCAGGCAAGCAAGGGAGGATAAACAGGAACGTTTATAGTGAATCCCTGGAAAGCCCCGGAAAAGAAAGCGCTGCGGGACGTGAGGAGATGGCACCCCGGACCCCTCACCCAGCGTGTGCCCGCAGTGTCCTGCTGTGCAGCGTACCCTGAGTCCCCCGGGCGCTCCCTCCACCCACCTCAGACTGCAGTCACTCCAGACGCTGGCAGCTCACCCCAGAAGCTCCGAGGGCCACATAAGCCAATGCCTACATTGAAATAGCATCAAACAAGGTGAAAGAGTTACCTGGCATGGTGTAATAATAGACAGACAGAAGCTAAATTTTGTTGAAACATAATCACATCTTGTTCCCTACCCCCACCCTACCCCCAACACAGTAAATCCTTCAAAGCCCCGATTGACGAAATAAGTCTTAATGAATTTTCTGTCAGTGTTAGCTCTGGATTATAATGTCTGAATCCAGGGTGGGGAATATATCTTTCCTACTTAATCATTGCAGACCCACCACTGGGACTGCCCAGGGGCATGACCAAGATGCGTAACGGGGTTGGAAGACGGAGAGTCAGAAGACACGGCACCCGGTGGCTTGTCGTTGCTCCCCAGGGGTGCCTGTGCCCCGCCACCTCTGGGGACTAGCTGGTGCCCTTAGCAAATTCCTTCTCCTGCTTGCTGCTGCCCCGTGTGCTCAGCACGTGGTGCTTCTTTTCTAGGAGGACGGTCGCTATGAAGGCCCAACTTTGGCTCATGCAGTGGAGTTGTTTGGAGGCAGACGGTGGAGTACCCGAAACCCCAGCCCTGGAACCTCAGCAAAGAATGCCGACAAGCCCAACATGCAGAGAAACAATACTCTGGGCATAAGCGCCACCAAGAAGAAGAAGAAAATCCTCATGAGGGTGCGTGGTATTTTTGCTTGTTGGTTTGTTTTATTTTGTTTTGTTTTGGCGGAACCGAGGATTGAACTCATGCCCCTGCGCTTGCCAGGGAAGCGCCTATTCTACGGAGCCATCTCCCGGCCCAGGTATTTGTTTATTGAGCATTACACCCAATCTATTGTGTGGTTAATATCACCCATAAGCCACCTTACGTCGTAGGAGTTGGGGACAAGGTGAGGGGGAAAACAAGAGTTAGAAGGGCTTGCCACGTACCTCTTGGGTGCCAGGGTCTGTGCCAGGAGCCGTGACAACACAAACGGAGTGCAGTCCAGTAAAATTCATTGTGAGGCAGCTGCATATCCTGTAAGAGCAGGAAGAGAGGAATACAAGCTAAGAGACAAGCAGGAGACTTTACAGAGCAGCCGACGGATGGGCTTGAAGGGGTGTGTAGGAGTTTACCAAGTAGACGACGTACAGGGAAGCATCCCAGCAGAGCGGACAGCGGAGCTGCGGGGGACTTGCTCAGGGAAGCTCATGCCGTTCTGGAGGCTGGCGCCTGAGTTTGGTGGGGAGTAGGGAAGGGTCAGAAGAGCAGTCATTTACGAAGGCCCTAAGGGCCCATAATGTTGTATATACAACACAATTTTAAATGTATTTAATAAATAAAATTTTATCACTATATATTCTAAATCATATATTATCACTATATTATGATAATATTGTTCATTACTGCCTAAAAAACAATTCTTTCATATGAGAGGCTGTTGATTAGTAGAACTTTACCTGCTTCACAATTGTGCCTCCAGCTGGGGAGATAGCTCAGTGGTATAAGGATCTGCCTGGCATGCACAAGGTCCTGAGTTCAATCCCCAGCAAAAAAAAAAAAAAAAAAAAAAAAAAAAAAAAAAACAACTGCACCTAGACACAGATTTCAGGTTCCTGGGCCATCTCTTTCTGCCTCCATCCCTGCGGAGTGCTGCTTTAGAATGAAGCTCAAATTGGATGAGGTGACGTGAGAATTCTTGGTGCTCCTCGACAGAGGTCTGTCTCACTCACAGGAAGAGACAGCACTGAAAGTGTGTGGGTGCAAATAGCTAGCCTGCGAGAGCTAGCACAGTGCTGCTGGGAGGGAAACAGCCTGGGAGTCATCGCGGGCTCTGTGTTTCCAGGGTGAGAGCGGAGAGGCGACGGACGACGAGATGACAGCCCGAAAAGCCAAGGTGCAGAAGGAATGTCGGAGCCGAAGCGGCTCTGATCCTCAGGACATTGATGAGCAAGAAGAAGCAGGTACCACCACTGTCCATCTCTGAGATCATTCTTTTTCAGTTGTAGGGGGAGATACCCATTTTGATGATTTAACTATTGTGGAATCCTTAAATTATCTTGCTGGATGTACCTTTGTTTCTAAGTTACAAGTTTCTTCTACAAGTATAATTAATGTACTTCAGGCAGGGGATATAGCTCAGCGGCATAAGCACCTGCCTATCAGGCACAAGATCCCAAATTCGATCCTTGGTGCCACCAAAAAAAAAAAGACCAAGTATAAGGTACTTGGAAGTTCACGAATGTATCCTTATCAGCAGGGAATATCAGATGTACATGGTACAATTTGATAGATGAGTGATTCCCAGCACTGGCCGAAGAACAGAGCTTTAGCAAATCTGTGTGGGTGTCCTGGCCACACCCAAACCAACTGACATAGGTGTTCTCTGGCTGGAAGCTAAGCACCTGTGTATTTTCTGAAATCTCCAAGTTAGGGTGCAGTGTAGCCAGTGGAGAACCCACCAAATGAGTTTATTCACCAAGAAACATATTTTGATACTTCTGATACAGGAACTTATCTCTCTGTTGAAACAGATCGTATATATTGGTTTTCTCAGACATCCAGCAGCCTCTTCTGCTTGTAGTGACTTTTTGTCTTTTTTTCTCTCTCACCCTCGCAGAAGTCAATGCCATCACTGGCCCTCCCAACCCCCTCCCTTCCAGAAGAGCCCACTCCTTGACAACAGCGGGGCCCCCCAACTTGACCACCCCGACATCGTCTCCCACCAGGCCAGTCTCCTCCCCTGTGCTGTCTTCTTCAAACAACAGTCCATCCAGGTGGGGCCTTAACATGATAAAAGACGAGGACCCTTGCATCATTTCGTTGTGTAGAAGGGCCGCGCGCCACTTCCCGTTGTCTGTTGGAAGACTCTATTTCTGACTTATAGGTATACTAAAGACTCAAAACTGCCGAAGTTAAATGATCCTGATTTTCCTGATTTATAATCCTATTTTTTGGATTATTATAACTGCCCTTCATGGCTTGAAAGACCAATCCTTCAAAGGTCATTAGCAATAACCAAACCCAATCTGTAATTCTGTAAACCTGCGCTGTTCAGTACTGTAGTCACTAACCACATGTGGAAATTTCTATTCAAATTTAAATTAAGTTAAATTATGTTAAATCTAAAAATCAGTTTCTCAGTCACAGTAGCCACAAGTGCTCCATAGCCAGAAGTGGCCAAGGTTATTCTGAAAGCTACAGGCAGAAGTATTGCATATCTATAATTGCAAAAGTTCTATTGGATAGCACTGCCTTAAATGAAGAGTAAAGTTCTAATGTGAGCTACCTGACTCTGCTAATTGGTGAAATATATTTAGTACTTTCTTCCTATATTAGGAAAGTTATGCATGCCTGGAGAAATGAATTCAAATATTGCAGCAAGTTAGATATGTTTAGATATAACTCTAAATTTGAATTATCACACATGGACCATATAAATTCCAGGTTCAAAATAAAATCTATCCTCTCAGGAGAGGAAATAATATAAAAATGAAAGTTTTTCCAAGGGAATCAAAATATAATGCCATCCATCTCCCTCCACCCTTCTATTTCAAATAAAGTAAAAGAAATTCAGAAGTTCCAGACAGAACCAAAAGTAAACAGTTGCTCTTCCCTTTCTTACCCAGAGGGGTGGGTCTGAGCAGACACTGATTGGGGTTGGAAACATGGATTTCATTCCTTTCCCTTTACATTTATAGCAAAAGTAAAAGTTACAAATAATCAGGATTCTTCTGTTAAAATGTAGGCCTATGTAGGACTTTGGAGAAATGGAACAGACAGATTACTTGGATTAAGTGGCATTTAATCTTTATTTCAGTCGCTCATGAGCAGGAGAAGGAGGAAAAGTTTAAAAGAGAAATTAACATACCAGACCCAAGGTCAGATGGCTCAGCCACAGAAGACAGGAGTGAGAGGCCACTCCTGTATTACAACACAAGGGAAAGCCCGAGGCAGGAGAAGAAAAATCAGCCTGAATACTGTTCAGGAGAAAGCATGACTGAGTCCTACGTCCAGTGGGAGAAAGAGTGGGCAGTTTCCTAGAGTCAAAAATGGAAGCTCCTTGCAGACAGGAGACAGACAGGTCACTAGAAAGAAGAAAGATAAGGGATCGTCTGCTTAGTTCACATGATGAAGCTCACGTTTCCTGCGTCCTGAGCCTCCGGGCTCGCTGTGTGCCTGCTGCCCTCTGACTGCAGGACCGACTCGTCCACAGCGCTGGGGATCTGGCTGCCCCTGAAAGAGGTGATCTGAGATGTCAACACTAAATAATTTTCCATGAGAAAACACTCCTCGTAAGATTCAGATTAGATTGCCTATCTTTATAATAGTATCTGTATTTTTTAATATCTGAAATAGTTCCCCAAAAAAATCTAAGACAAAAAAGAGAAAGGTCCTATCCATTGATTTGACTAAAAAACACAATCAAAACTTTTTTTTTTAATACAGGTATCAGTATAGGCAATTCCACATCTAAAACAGTGACATTAAATTTTTGATTGGGTGGGCTGGCATTTCTATACCAAGTCGCTGCAGCTCTAGCGGGGGCAAGTACAGGCTTGGGCACACGTGGCTTCACCCTGTCCTTAATACTTTTCTGACTCAGATTTTCCACTAATCTTTGAAGCTCTTCACTATTTTCATTGAAGAAATTGTTAGAAACAAAAAGGGAAGACACTGGTGCACTCAAAACTTTCCTCTTAAGTGTATTTCCATAATTGAAAAAAATAGAAAAGAGTATATGTCATTTCCCACAAATTATGATTGAGTGATTTAGAGCTCTTTTTTAAAAAAGATTTTTCTTGAAAAGCACTGAATTTAGGAGTTCGTTTCCTCCCACTGATCTCTGATTTCGAAGAACTGTTTGATTAGTTGAGAAATTTAAAGGCTTACTGGGGGCCAGGGAGATGGCTCAGTGGAATATGTGCTTCCTTGGCAAGCGCAAGGGCCTGAGTTCAATCCTCGGTTCCACAAAAAAAATAAAATAAAATAAAAATAAAGGCTTACTGTACCCTTACTAAGCAGGCTGCAAAAACAAGGTGGCCTCGGTATGTGCCGCCTGTTTCCTCTGAGGCCACCTGGGAAGACGAGTAGAGGCAAACAGCGGCGTCTGGCACTGTCTCTCCACAGTGGCTGGAGCAGCAGCAGCTGGCACGGGCGGATCAAAGGCGGAATGAAGGGGTTCCAGAGCTTCATAGTGTCAGACAGTAACATGAGTTTTGTTGAATTCATTGAGCTGTTCAAGTCCTTCAGGTATGGCCCAGGCTTCTTCCTTACTTTTTCTCGGGACCACATTTTTATAACAGTACTAACTGCGAGGTGTTGTCCATCCCTTGCTCAGTGTGCGCAGCCGCAAGGACCTGAAGGATCTCTTCGACGTCTACTCTGTGCCCTGCAACCGCTCGGGTTCGGAGTCAGCCCCCCTCTACACCCACCTGACAATCGAGGAGAGCGCCAGCGACTTTCAGCCTGACCTAGGTTTGTCGAGCATTTTAGGATTTCCTTCTGAGACCTTCTGTCTAAACATCAAGGCCAGTGATCCAACCACACAAACCCTCACCCTGTCCCTCGCGGCACATGTTGCCTGGAGCCTGGTGAAGCGGGGACTTGCTCACGGGTCGTTTGGCATGCTGGGGGAGCGCGCTGTGGTTGCGCTGGACAAGGGTCTTCCTCCATGCTCCACTGTAGCTAACCAGTAGTACACGCCAGACCACCTCCTGAACATCGCCGAGTGTCCACTAGGCACAGGGGACTACCAGGCACCTGCATCTGGGAAACGCCGGCCTGCTTCCCGCCTCTGGGCAGAAGGTTGCTCGGCGCCAGGGCGGTAGGGGCTGCGTTTGGACAGGAAGTCTTTCAATATCCAGGACGTTTTCTGCCATGTGAGGCTGAGTGTCACCCTCCTCCTCCCCACATACCAGCACCACTGCCGGCACCACCGAGGCCTCGCTCAGCCAGCCGTACATCTAAAGCCTGTCTTTTTTCTCCTCAGTTCTTGCTGGGGCAATCAACACAAAAGAGCAGAGAAAAATCTGGGGGGTTTTGATGCAGTTTCTTCATAATTACTTATAAATTGATGTTGTGCTTAGCCTGTTACTGAGTAGCTGTTAAAATATGCCAGTCTACTCATTAGTCAAATAATTACACTTTTTAAAAAGTATTAAATTTTATTTTATAGAAAAATTTCAAGTTTAAGAAAAATGAGCCAAAAGTACTGTACAGAGTTCACATACAGTAACCTCTACACCCCGCGCGTGTGCGCACGCGCACACACACACGCGCACACGCGTTCCTTGGTTCACAATACCGCATTAGTGAGGTGCCCGAGACAGCTGAGCTCACATTCGCACATTATTGCTACTGAAGTCCGTAATTTATGCCCGTGTGCGTGCCTTGTGCTGCACATTCCGCGTTTTGACAAATGTGTGATGTCATGCGGCCGCCATCGTAGTATTATGCAGAATAATCTCACCGTCCCGAAAATTTCCCCACCTCTCCATCCGTCCTTGTCTCCTCCAAATCCCCGACAACCGCCAACCTTCTCTTGCCGTCTCGGGAACTCTGCCTTTGCCGGCTGCTGAGGCGTCGGGATCACACCGCAGGCAGGCCTCTGGGCAGCAGCTTTCACCTTCCGATGTACATCACGTTCCCCCACACAGCTTTTTTCGGTGTGAGAACTCATTTCTTTTGAAAACCAAAAAAGATCAGGTTATGCGCATTATCACACTGTGTTTATCTGTTCGCTTGCTGAAGGACATTTTGGTTGCTTCCAAGTTTCAGCAGTTAGGAATAAGGCTGCCGCGACACTGCTGTTCGAGTTGGCGTGCAGATGTAAATCTTCAGGTAAATACCTGAAAGCCAGTTCTCGGGTCACGGGAGGCGTATGCTCAGCTCTATAAGAACTGCCAACCTGGCACGGTGGCACACACCTGTAATCCCAGCACTGGGGAGGCTGAGGCAGGAGGATCGCTGTGAGTTCAAAGCCAGCCTAGGCTAAATAGTGAATTTGAAGCCATCTTGAATTACATAGAAAAACCTTGTTTCAAAAATAACTAAATAAATGAATAAGAAAGGAGCACCAGAGTAGCCTCCAATCTGGCTAACAGTAAGACGACGGCCGTGCCCAAGGGCAATGCAGACACGGAGCAGTTGGAGTGTTAGTACACTGCTTGTGGAAATGCAGACGGTGCAGCCGCCTTGCAAGACCGCCTTGCAGCCTCTGTGAATGAGACGAGCATGTCCACACGGGCCGGCAACTGGGCTCGTGGGTAAAATGGTGTATTCACAAAAACCTATATATAAATACTTGTAGTCACAGTTTTAAAGTGCAGAAAAAATATATAACTTTAGAATATATTTTCAAGCCGGGTGTGGTGGCACACACCTGTAATCCCAGATCTTGGAAGACTATGGCAGGAGGATCGCTGTGAGTTCGAGGCCAGCCTCAGCTACAAAGTGAGTTGAAGACCAGCCTCAACTGCACAGGGAGATCCTGTCTTAAAAAGACATACACACACACACACACACACACACACACAAAACAAAAACAAGTATTTTCAGTGTCTATAAAAAGAAAAGGGCTGGGGAGGTAGCTCGACAGGCTAAGTGCCTGCTTGGCAAGCGCAAGGGCCTGAGTTCAATCCCCAGTACCGCATACCGTGCTGACCCTGGAACCCCAGGTGCACCATGCCCGCTCTTAAGCCAGGAATGGGAAGGCATGCCTGTAACCCCAGCACTAGGGCGGCTGAGACAAGATCATTGCGAGTCTGAACTTCATAGTGAGACCCTGTATCAAATAGATAAATTAATTAATATTTTAAAGTGTAGAAATTGGTATTCTTAAAAACCAACATCTGGAGAGGGGTGAAGTATACCTACCCGTAATCCCAGCTCCTCAAGAGGGTGAGGCAGGAGGGTGGCACGTTCCGGGCTACCTTGAGCAACTACTTGGCTCTGAAATCTAAAGTGTAAACAAAAAAGGGCTGGGGATATAACTCCGTGGTAGAGCATTTGCCTAGTATATTTGAGGCCCTGGGTTCAATCCTGAGAAAATAAAATAAAAATCTGAATTTGGCCTCCAATCTACCACTGAATCTACAGAATTCTAATGGAATACTAATGTTTATGAGATTTCATTATTCTCCACCTAGCACGTCCATAATTAGAGGTGTTCCTTGATTTATCTGTTAGTCTTCCCTCTGTGAAGCAAGGAATAAGCACTAAGCTTAGTGGTTTGTGTGGAGAGATTAGCAAAAAGCTTCTGCAGCTTAATAATTCTATAACGTCGTCATTTCCAGAATGAGCTGTGCGGATGAAGCCGGGAGGCCAAGAGCCCACGGTCTGCCATGGCTCTGTTTCAGATTTGTTGACCAGGAATGTCTCGGACCTGGGGCTGTTCATCAAGAGTAAGCGGCAGCTGTCCGACAGCCAGAGGCAGATCTCTGACGCGATCGCCGCAGCCAGCATCGTGACCAACGGCACTGGGATCGAGAGCGCGTCGCTGGGCGTGTTCGGGGTCGGCATCCTGCAGCTCAGCGACTTCCTGGTGAACTGCCAGGGGGAGCACCGCGCTTACGACGAGATCCTCGGCATCATCCAGGTCTGCGCCTGCGCCCACGTGCGCCGCGCTGTGACCCCAGCAACCTGCTGCTCGGGTTATCTGCGCTCCCGCCCCCAAAACCTCGGTCGGGAAGAGCCGGGCTGGTCTGTCTGCATGCGGTTTGGGTTCTGAAATACCAGGAGTGCCTCGCGCGCTCACCTGGCCCGGCGCCCTGACTGGCCGCCCGGTGAAGCATCAGTGCGCTAATCCTGGTAATCCTGGCGCTGGAGCAGGATTGGCGCCGGTTCCGCGCCTCTGCCGTCCCTTAGCCGACCTTTCTTAGCGCCTGCTCTGCCCTGCGTTCTGGGAATCAGAAGCGCAGCCCGCCGGGCGGCTCACGTGCTGGGCGTGAGGCGGACGGTAAGCAAGAAGCGCAGCGCGGCTGAGGTGGCGACGGTTCCGCCGAGCCCTGCAGGGCGGAGACCGGGGCGGGGAGGCTGGCGCGAGCAGCTGGGCGAGGTCGGGGAGCACCGGCAGGGCGAGGTCGGGGAGCACGGGCAGGGCGAGGTCGGGG